CCCCCCCCCACACACACAAACCACGCATCTTCTTTTACTGATGCTGCTGCTGCCGATGCTGCTTTTGTTTGTTTGTTCGCTTGGGCTCCGGTGGCGGTGGGGCCGGAGGTGAAGTACGTGGATGCAAGTAAAGTGAGCAACCGTTTTTCCACCCCCTCTCTTCCCTACCTTATCATTATTTATTTATTTATTTATTATTATCGGAGTAAAAAGAGAGGAAATCAACGACTAGTGGGAGACAAAGAGAAGAAAAGAAAAGAAAAGAAAAAGCCCGAAAAATAAATAAATTGGGATTTCTTTTCCTTTATTTTGTCCCTCTCTCTCTCTCTCACCCTTTTTTTTTTTTTTTTTTTGAATTCTCTGGTTGTTGCATGTGCCGGATGGCGTCTGTTTTTTTCCGGCTTTCCTTCCTTTTTTTCTTATTTTCTCTCTTCTCTTCTCTTCTCTTTTTTTTTTTTTGTTGGTTTGTCGCATTCACGTTTAGAGTGTCTTTTTTTTTCCTTTTTCTTTTATCTTCCTTCTGTTTAATTTACGGTCGCGCCACCTCTGCAGTAACGCGGCAGCGGCATCGTTTTATTGTTGACTTTTTTTTTTTTGTGCGTTTCTTGTCTGTGATCTCCGCCGGCACACGCACCCCGCAGCTTCCGCCACACCCGCGCGCGTGCCGCCTGCAGAGGACCGAACGGGGACAGAGGGAAAGAGGAGAAGTGTTTTAAGGGGAAGGAAGGGGGTGGGCGGGTGGAGAAATGGGGAAGACACCGTCATTTGAGTCACTGGGCGTGCACCCCACGTTGGTGTCGGCACTGCGACGAGTTGGGATCCACCCGACACCGTTCCAGGCGCGTGTGTTGGCTAACACAACGAGCGACTTCGCGGACGTCATGGTGGACGGGCGGGCGGCGGGTGGTGTGAACCCAAGCGGTAACAGCGGCGGTGCTGCTGGCGCGGATGGCATCGCGAGCCCGCGTGCCGTCACTGCGGAGCGGCACACGCTTATTACAATCTTCGTTACGCATTGTTTAATGTGTTCGAGGGAACCGTCACGCAGCACGGCGGTTGTGGTGGCGAGCAGCAAGGACTGCGCCGCGCAGCTTCAGAAGAGCATGAAAGCTTTTGCATCACACTGCCATGTTGAATTTCAGATGCTGACAAATGAGGGGCAGCCGACACCACCGGTGATTGGCTTGTCCGGTGAAAGTGGTGAAAGAGGGGCGCCAGCATCGGCGTCGGTGTCCACTTCCAAAGGTGGGCGCGTCTTTATTACCACACTACGTGTACTTCGCTCGTGGAGCAGAGAGTTCCTCCGGTCCATCACGACAATTGCTGTGGAGGATGCGAGTCGCAACAATGAACGACACCTGGAGGATATTCTGCGGGCTTTGGCACCATCATCACCGTCTGGCAATGCGGTTAGTTCAAATCATTCATCGAACAACTTAACTGCGTCGCGGCAAACTGCAAATATCTTCTTGATGTATCTTGCGCCGCTGACGAAGGTGGGTTTTGGCATTAGATACCGCTTGAACCGCAGGAATCGACGGTATTATCATCTTCAAGGCCCATCCGCTCCACCAGGGTCGGCGTTGCAAACAGCTTCCGGCACACTGCCTCCTTCATCCACGCAGTTGGTGCATCTTCTATACTTGGACGAGCGGGATCGCGAAGAAATTTTGCACCGTGTGCTCCAAAATGTATCACTCACGTCGTATTGTGATTTTGACCCATCACAAGGAGATAAAACATCTGCACCAAACCATAGCTAAATGGGGGATGTATCAAACTGGCAACGAGGCAAACGGCAGGGGGTCGGATTATATGAGTTGCATGCTGCGCTCGGATACTGCGGAACGGCAGGAGTCCACTCTAATGGGGTTTCTTCGTGATACCAGGACCAACAGCAATTCCGGCGCCGGCAACAGTGGTGACAACGGGAAATCTTTTTCTGCACTTCTAATTGGCTGGGATGCATTTACGGCCGTGGATCTCATGGACGTGGATGTTTTTATCCAATACTATCCTCCTCAGAAGTCCCTCACGGAGCGGGAGCGTGCTGAATTTGTTCAGGTACTACACACCACAGCTGACCCTGAGAACAGTCGCCGTGGACGTCGTACTCTGCTTATCACGTTCCTTGCAATCAATGACTTTACACTTGCTTTGTTCTTCATGCAGCAGTACGGCCAAAACGGTCCCATTCTTAACATTGCTCCCAATCACCCGGAGTTTCAACGATGCATAATGGAAACGAAGACAGTGTTGAGGATCAAGCAAAAGAAGGAGGGCAGTCGGCGCCAAAAGGACCGCGAAGAGGGCGGGCAGTACCCGAATGCTAGTAGAAGCTCCAGTGCTGGAGCGGCGAACGCGCCGGTGCCGCTGCCTCGCTCCATGCGACACTCGTCCCCCGGGGCTCGCAAGGAGAAGGAGCAGCGCACAACTAGTGGGAGCAACAAGGGCAATGCCACTGCTTCCACTGCTGTTGGCAGCAGCAGCGGTGGTGGTGGTGGTGGTGATGGCAAGTCACGTGGCGGTGGGAGGTGGAGTGGCGAGGGCCGAGGGCGACGTGCTGGTGACGCCGGCACAGCCAGTGGTGAAAGCTCTGCCTGCGTGTCGTCGCAACCAACAGCTACTGGCTAAGGCGGGCGATGCGCCGATTGGATTGGATCGGAAGGAGGAAGATGTTGGGCCGGGGAAGAGGGAGCGGGGCGGGGCAAAAAAAAAAAAAAAAAAAAAAAAAAAAAAATTGGGCAGGAAAATAACCGAAGGAACCGAAGGAACGAACACAAACAATTGTGAAGGGAAAACTGCAAAAAACGAAACAAAAAAAAAAAAAGGAAAAAAAAAAAATTACAAAAAAATTACAAAAAAATTACAAAACAAAAACAAAAACACAAAAAAAATAAACAAAAAAAAAAAGTCAAAAAAAAAAAAAAAAACAACAAAAAAACAGAAAACAAAAACAAAAACAAAAAAAATCAGGAAATAAAAAACAAAAACAAAAAAAATCAGGAAATAAAAAACAAAAAAACAAAAAACAAACAAAAATACGGAGGTGAAAAAGGAGGAAAGCCTCCCGAATGGTCGGCCACGGGGGGTGTTTTTCTCTTTTTCCCTCTGAGAGTTTCTGTACTGTTCATCTCCTGCCAGCTTTCTGCCTTTTCCCGTGGGGATTGTCGCAGCGGTTTCGTCCACCGTGCGCACGGGCCGGAGGGAGACGAGGATGGCCACAGGTGGAAAGAGAGGGAGCAAGAAAAAAGTACGGACATATATTCATATATATATATACGATGCGTGCGTGTGTGCGTATACATGAGTGGGCGGGAGGGAGAGTGTGTGCGGGTGCATTCGTGCTGAGATGAGGAAAACGGATTGAGGGCGAAATGTATTAAGGAAGAAGCGAAAGGGTGTGAGAAAGGGAATGAGCGGGAGAGAGCGCGGGGGGGGGAGGGGGTCGGTGGAGCGGCGCGACGGGCCCCACTGCGCACATACGCACATACACACACACACACACACACGGAGACTCCTCCAATTCAAATGGCTTGATAACGCCATGCGGTTTTTATTATAACGTGTGGGCGATGAAACAGTTTGCGCCTCGCGCCAACACACGCATGCACAAGAGGCAACAAGGGCAAGGCGAAGGCAACGTGAGGTGGGACGTTGTCGATGCTGAGGTGCTGAGGAATGTGAAGCCACAACTTGGCACCGCGCTTCTTTAAATTTTTGTGGGGAGGGAAAGGGAAAGGGGTGGGGGGAAATGCCGAGTGGGAAAGACGGAACGCAAGTAACTGAAAAAAAAAAAAAAAAAGGAACAGAAAAAAAGAAGAAAAGGGGGGAAGAAAAGAAGAAGAGGACGGGGCAAACAAAAGAAGATGCATAAAAATATATAAATGAGGACAGAAGAGATGTGGGATGGCGGTGGCCGAAGGGGGTTTTTTACTGGGAGAGACGATCAAAAAGAAGTTAGGAAGGAAGGCGGACACGAAACAACGCAGAGAGAGAGGGAGTGGGGCAGGGGAAAAGAGAGGTTTTTGATGTTTCAAGTCAACATTGTTAGAACTACAGGGACCCGAAGTAAGTGGAGAGACGAATGAAGATGAAAGGATAAACAAAATAAAATAAAATAAAATAAAATAAAAAATAAGGACTGTGGAGGAATTGAGACACGTTGTAAGCCCTTTTTTTTTCTTTTTTGTCGGTTGTTTCAGGTTGTTTGATTGGCGGCTGTCATTATTGCCACATTGAGACGTGATGCGTCTTCTTCTTCTTCTTCTTCCTGCTTCACTGCTCGCACATGACCGTGCGGACATTGGGAAGCGGGGAAAGGGATAGGCTGGGAGAAGAGGCAAAAAAAAAAGAAAAAAAAAGAAGAGGAATGAAAGGAAGAAACAACAACAACAACAACAGGTTCTGTTGACATGCATGGGATGACGTGCACGCATTATGTGCGTTTCTATTTATTTCCTTTTTTTTTTTTTTTTTACCCTTTCTCTTTATTTTTGTGCACATGCGGCATTGGAAGAGAGTCTCTGCGTGAGAGTAGAAATTGGGGGGCATCCATTTTTTTTTTTTTTGCCAACAACCGTGCTGCTCTCTTGACGTGTCCGTTGCTCTTTGGTTTCCTCACCTCCTTTTCTTTTTTTCTTTTTTTTTCTTTTTTTCTTTTTTCCCGCGGCATTTCACGTGTGCGTGCGTGCGCACTCCCCATTGCTGGTCGTCGTGGCTGTGGCGGGGGTGGTGTGTCTGTGGGAAGGATTTTTGGGCGAACTTCTCTTCCGCGCACGCACCCGCGTCCTCCGTTGCCC